CGTGAATAAATCTGGGGGGAAAATGGGAAATGCAACTAGCCAAAATGCCTGAGTTTTTACTCTGGCTCTCCTCTTTTTTTGGGCCATCAAAGGATTGAATCTGTGAAAAGACACAGGATCAAAAAAGATTTTAAATGTGTTTAGAGAGAACAGGAAATACCCTGGATTCCTTTCCCTGGCTGAAAATTAATTCAGCAGTTCAGATCTAGAGAAGAGCTCTTGCAGAGAAAAGTATAGCTCTATTGAACGTTGTTTCTGAAGATCCACCTAGACCAGCAAGCCACAGTACATCTTCTGTTACCTTTTCTGAGAGATCAAATGACTTAAAATTGGAGAGGGCGATGCTGGAATTGGGTCTCTTGGAAGGGAGACAAATGGATTTGGGAAAAGAGGAATCTAGAAAAGCCACAGGAACAGCGAGGCTGTTGGTCAGAGGTACATTTGCTGGCCTGAGAATCCCTGTACGTAGACGTCTCCCTGTTATGTGACCAAGCAGCAGCATCTAAGTATCAAACTGCAGACAAATTTAAATGGCTGGTATCATATCCAGAATTAGAAATGGAAAAAGATGTGGGTTTTTACAGCAAAGTATATTTTAAATTTGAGCTTCCACAAACCTCCATTGCAGTTACCCACAATGCCACACCATTGCAAATACTAGGAAGAGCTTTTGTATGCAGCACCATCTTGCCTCCCGTAGCAAATGATTATGTTTACCTATGACTACTAGATCTAGATTGAGAAATTCAGGAGGACTCCTAGATGACAAGCAAAGGCTTGGTTCTCTGTATCTCTTTGGAGTAATTGTCTGGATTTTGTTACACAAAACTATACAGGTAGTCCTCAACTTACAACAGTTTGTTTAGTGGCACTGGAAAAAGTGACTTATGACCATTCTTCACACTTACAATTGTTGCAGTAGCAGCCTTATGATCGTGATCAAAATTCAGACGCTTGGCAACTGACTCACATTTATGATGGTTGCTGTGTTCCAGAGTCGTGTGATCACCTTTTGTAACCTACTGTAAGCAAAATTAATGGGGAAGCCAGATTCACTTAACAACTGTGTCACTAACGTAACTGTAGTGATTCACTTAACAACTGTGACATGAAAGGTTGTAAAGCAGTGGTTCTCAACCTTTTTAATGCCGCGACCCCAACCAGTCGTAAGTCGAGGACTAAACCAGTCGTAAGTCGAGAACTAAACCGGTCGTAGGTCGAGGACTACCCAACCAGTCGTAAGTCGAGGACTTTCCCTGCCCGGGAGCGCCACGCATGCATGGTTCCGCCCCCTGCGCCGGCCGAGGCGTAGCTGGCAAGCGGCAGAGACAGAGCAGGCCGACCACCAGCTGGCCCAGCCAAAGGGAGGTAAGGCACCCGCCGGAAAAGGGGGGAAAAATGGCGGACAAAAAAAATGGCGGACCCACAGGTTGAGAACCACTGTTGTAAAGTGAGGCAAAATTCACTTAACAAATGTCTCTCTTATCAACAGAAATTTTGGGCTCAATTGTCCTAAGTTGAGGACTACCTGTATGTTATTTGAATCTCAGAAGTGATCAATATTGTCAATTTGCTGTGCAGAAACTGGAGTTTGAACCAGTTGCTGCAGCTTACAAAACATACATGGCTACAGGTCAGTTTCCATCTCTGATCAATGAGTCAGACAGGATAGAGATAAGTTAGTGTGGGCTTGTTGATTCTTTACAGTACAGTATACTCCAGTGTATCATGGAAACACTCAGGGATTGGATTCACACTGTACTTAGTGCAATGTCATGCTTAACTATGGTATGTTCAAAACTAGAATTAATCAGTTTTATACAAGATATGCCATAAATTATGCTTTATATACTATCAGGGTCTCAGATGCACAGGAATCAAAGCAGGTAAATTATAATATACTAACTCTAGATCTGTGTGCAAAATTTGGCTGCTGAACTGTAAAGCTACTAAATAGCAGTGCTACAAAGAGATACACAAAATTCTAGTCCACAGCTTGCATCTAGCAGTTAGGTAATATTTGCAACCTAGACCTGTAGTCCTAACATAAAAGCGCATTTATACAAAATACTTAAGTAATTTAGTATTTTAATGGATTTTCAATTTCTGCAAACCAGCTTTTATAACCTGGGTTTGTTTTCAGAAAGAAAATCTCATCTAGCCAAACTTCCAAGAGTGACCATTTTAGATTTATACAATGTTGTAAGTGACAAACTTTAGTTAAAGGGATACAATGGGATATAAGACAGTAGCATGAATATGCTTGTTAAACTAGACAACAAATGGAAAAATTCAGCCTTACAATTTGTGATTTCATGGATCCATGGGACATTGGGGAAAAAAGGGAAACAGTGCAACCCTTGGCCAGAATAAACATTATCTATTGCTTAGCATGTAGTGAGAATCCAACTGATTAAGATTTATTTAGTTAGCTAGTTAACTATGATTAGTAAATTATAAGCTGCATTAGTTTGCCAAATTTTCTCAAGTGTTCTTAAACTGGTATTTGCCAGGTACAGTGCAAAGAACATAAGAATATTGCAGGATTAGATAAAGGGCCATCCTAGTCCACCATTTTGTTTCTCATGTGCTTCTGGGGCATTCACAAGTGATGTGGAGACCATTAGTTCCCCTATAATTGATATTGGAAGCATACTTCTGAGACCCCGACTCTCAGAGGAGTCTTCATCCTAGCAGCCCTTGATTGACTTCCTCTCTCTGAATTTATCCAAATTCTTTAAACCCAACCAAGTTAAGAGGCTAGCACCATCACATCTTGTGGCAATGAATGCCACAGTTAATTACCTCAAGATGATAGCAGGATGAATCAGAGGGGAGTAAGGGAGCAAAAGATTCAATGTGCAGAGCTCAACAGAACTTTGAAACCTGGGTAGAAGAGATGTGATGACCCCAGAGGCTGGCTTTGTGCAACATGCAAGCGCAGAATGTGGTTGATGAGTATGTGGCTCATTGTGTCCTTATCATAACCAGAGCTATCATGGGATAGCCAAATCCTGAAAAGCCAAACCAGGAAACCATTTTCAAGGCTGATTTCTGATGGTGAGAAAAATGTTACACACAGCAGCAAAAGAAATCAAGGGGTAGCTGCTTTAATATCATGATGCCTAGATACAGTAGGAAAAACTGCCTTTCCTCATTAATGTAGTTCCTGGCTTGGCAAAAACCATGCTTTGTGTCTTTACATTGTTTAGACTGATCACAGCTGTAGTGGTTTGCAAGCATATTTTCTGAGTTTTCTTTCTCCATCCTGTGTAGAGCAAAGTCTTCTAAAGATTTTAAAAAAGGAAAATGGTGTGTGTGTGTACGTGCGTGGAAAGAGGTTTTCTTTTTGCTAGTATTTTAAATAAGCATTGACTTCTTTTCCTCCTCACATTGGGGAAATTAGTTTGAAACATAAGACAGCCAAATATGATTTCAAGGCCATACAATCCTTATCAAGCTCTGCCACCATTGTTATTACTCTACTGTTTAATAGTAGGAGCTGGTCTGAGGAAAAACAAGTCAAAACTGACAACAGAAGTTGAAAACATTTGAGAATTGTGAAATTTCATTGAAATTCTTGAGAAACAAAAATTCCAAGAGATTTCAGTCCTGATGTGGACACAAGTAAAAGTACTTGGTAAACAAGCCAAGATCAAATGTTTACTGTTCGTTTGAAACTTGCTTGAAAGAGGAACAAAAAAAACCCCCATGCATATTATGAAAACTGCATGACTGCTTCAAGATTGAGAAATAAAGGGAGGATTTAACATTTTGGAGATGGCTGGAAAGTTTAGAAAGGCGAGAAAGATAAATTCCTGAATTCCAACTATGGGGTTAGAAAGAAATGAGTATCTGTGTGTTTAAGCAGAACACCAGTATGGTGTAATGGTTCAAGCACTGGACTAGAAGTGGGAGACCAGGTCCTAGCCCCCCTTGGGCAGAGAAGCTGGCTGGATAACTTCAGGCCAGTCAGTCATAAACCTATTAACCCACATTGGACTAGCATGGTGGATTATGGTCCACAGCCCTCAGACCTTCATCCTGCAGTGGATTGATTCGGGCTGATAATAGTAATAATCTGCAGTCAGCACAACATTAACAATGTGCACTTCTTTTAAATGCTATCAGAGATCAAAGTTTGCCTTTTGCCCTGCCCAAGGCTTAAAAAAACGGCGCTACAATACAGAGAAAGGAAGGGGGGGGGAAACAACAGCCTCAAAAGTAAGCCGACTTCAAAACGAGCTGATTTCTCCCCCCCTCCTAACAGCAGCTGTTAGCCCAACCCTCCCATAGTGCGAGGAAACAAATTGCCAACACCTCCTCTTTTTCAGACTTTTGTCAATATCCTCGCGGATAGGAAGGGGCGGGGGGGGGGAATCCAATACCCTCCTCCTCGGGGAGGCGGTAAAAGCCAAGAGATATTTCATGGCTGTGTGTGGCTAATGAAATCCCACTTCTATCCAGTTATAAGAAAGAAAAGCCAAGAGCCGACGAGCAGGGATTGAAATCTGCTTTTGCATGGACTCCGCTCTCGACGCCTGGCGCTGCAGTACGAAAAAGCCAACCCACTCGGCTAGGAGTCGGTGTGGAGAGAGCGCGGGAGGGAGGAGGAGGAGGAGGAAGCGAGGGGAGTGGGAGAGCGGAGGACTGAGCAGACGCTCCAACGTGGATAAGCTTTAAGCTTTCTGATACATTCCTGCCTGGCCAGGGCGACACTTCCTGCAAGAGCTGTGCCGACTTGTTGCAAAGATCTGTCTTAGAAAGCAACGAAATCAATCCACTGGGTTCCTCGTCTCCCTCCCGCGCCTTCCCCCCCACCCCACCCCGATCGCTTCCCCTTCCCGGCTCTAGCGGCGTCCTAGTTGGTCGAATCGAGACCCTTTCTGAAGGAGGAGGTCGGGGCAATTTGATGGAGACTTCAAGCAGCCTGGCGTTTGGGGGGCGATCGCGGGGGGATTTTGGAGGGGACTGAAGAAGGGAAGGGTGGCAGTACAGACATGCAGAGAGCCAGCGTGATGGGGATGCCCAGTCCGGAACCCAGTGGATCATATTCCCAGCAATTCAAAGCCATGAGGTTCTCCTATCACATCGAAGGGGGAGCGACTACTTCGCCCCAAATCCGAGCTGGTAAGCGCCAGAGGACTGGGAAGGGTGTTTCTTGGGGCGAGGGCTTATGTGCTTTGGGTAACATAAAGAAGCAGTTGCTCCTTAACGCCGACTGAAGGCGAGTACAGTCGTACTGTAAAATAAGTGCTTGGTTTCGATGGTCATCTTTAGCGAAGGGAACTAATGCCTAATGGTTAAAGGCCGGGAGCGCCTGTATCTCAGAAGGAATCTCGGTTTTTCTTCTGCAGTTGGGGGAGCGGGATCCTATGATAGAGCAATGAATTGAAAAAGACATTGTTTTCTTTGGAAAGAGAAATACGTGGAATCTGGCAAAGATATTTGGGCGCCTGTAACGATAAAGATAAAAGCGCTGTGGAATTTCATTTTCGTAATTTGTAGCAGCTTCGAGTTAAAGTAGATTAAAAAAAAAAAAGTGGTATGGAGAGGGGAGCTTTCGTTCCTTATGCCGGGGAGGGAGCAAAAGCAATGCTGTGCTTAAAATAATTCCATCGTTGTAGATAGTAGGGTTAAAAAAATGAGACATTCCGTTTTAGGCTCCTGCCCCAAAGTGCTTACAGTAGGAGTGTGGCTCTTGTTTCTCCTGTGCCCCGTTTTCCACCTCTTCTTAGAGTAGTTGGCTTGGCCTTTCATTCTGAAAGTCCCCCCCTCCCCTTTTTTCTTATTCTTTTTTTTTTTTTTTTTACAATCCTGCCATTTTGCTTTTCAAATCCCTAAAACTGCAGGCAGCTTTTGGAACAAAGAGACACGGCAGTTAAATTGAAATGGAGGAGGTTCAGAAGAGAGATGTTTGCAGGAATATTAGCTTCAGCACTCTTTAATCCCAGGATTATTTTTAACACTGCTGAGGGAAACAGAGCTGCTTTGATTTCAAATGCAATTCATTTATCTCCTTTCTTCCACCCTTGCATAGGCAATTAGCTATTACTTCCATAGCCAGGCAATTGAACTTGGTGATGTTGAATAAACTTGTTGCCAAAGTTTCTATATCTGGAATATTTATATTGGGACTATGTAAGTTGCATCAGTGGAACTCCTTGCCACTTTGTTCTCTGGCTGTGTTCACGTGACATGCTGAACTGTAAAAAGCCAGTCACAGTGTAGTGAAAGTACAACTGTATGGCTAATTTGTAGTTTAGCCATATGCATTGCAAAAAACTTGGTTAATTGAGTAAACCATGAATTAGCACCCATGGAAACAGATGCCGAAAAATTCAGAGCTTTTAACAAGGAATAAATCATATGTCATGCTCTGTACAGTATTTAGCTTAACAGAGGATTTTTATGCTATATCTTCTGGGTTAGATGCCAAACTGCTCCCAATCAAGGTGCAAATGTGCAGGTTGGTGTCTCTTCTCTCGCCACATCTCCATCGATGTGAAAAATCTCACAGGAGATACTGACACATTTGAGTCACCCTTGCAAGTCTGATATTCTTAGAAGCAGTGTGCGGCCCGAGAAAAGCTGTGAAACACACGTAGGCATATCTCAGGTACAGAAAATGAGACCCGAGAATAAGGTATCTTGTATCTCTCCCCCCTCCTTCATAATAATTGGGACAGGCAACCTACACCGGCCTTGCTTTAAAGCTTTCTTGATTATAATACCAGGCATCAGGCCTTTACTAGAGACAGTGCTTCCTCCTGGCTATAGAACTGAATGGAGGCCTACAGAGTTGGCTTCAGAGCATAACTCTAAGGGGGGAGATGAAATGGGATACACAGTGGGGGCCTTTCTGGCTCTGGTTTTCCCTGAGATGGGGCAAACCTTTTCCATCTCCGCCCCTTTCCTTTGTTGATTCAGACCAGAGTAAGCTTTGTGTCTTTCTCTCTTTTTTTCCCTCCCCCTGTGCTTCAACCAACACCTGGCAAGACTGCAAAGGCATGGGGTGGGTCCTGCCACTGTGGAGAGAAACCAATACAAACCCAACAAGCTTTTCATCTCTAAAGCCAACACAGCTTGGATTAAGGCCCCAGTTTGCTCCTTCCAATGTTAGAAAATACACAGTCTCTAGTACTGCAACAACAGCAGCTAGTGTATTCTCTCAGTTCCCTCTTTTTAATCCTTCCAGATCATGGTTTAGTCGCTAGACTCTTCTTTCGTTTTTTTGGGCTGAGGAAAAACCAGGAATCTTAGCTTTCCACACACTGAGCTTTTGAAATTGTAGACCTTTTTCCTTCAGCAACCAGTGGACTGAAGACATAAGGCTGCCATAAATAAGATTGTGGTGTTGGTTGCCCTCAGTGATCCAGGCCCAAATTGCTGGGTGGCAGTGCAGTGTCATAAGTTCTACCTAGTTGCAAACACAGAAGGGTCCTTACAGCTGGGGCAGAATAGGGGTCTGCTGGTGTGCTTCTGTCTCTCACTCCAACCTCTCAGGTTATTGACTCTTAAGTATTTAGGAAGGCTAAATGATTAAAGAGTGCTTAAGCAGGTCTGTTCACTTCAACTGGAACCCAGCTTAAAGATTCTGCTTATATGTGTATCTGTTCCTTTTTGCAGTCCAGGTTTCAATTACAAAGGAAGACTTGGCTTGTTTCTTCTACAAGGGGGTGGCTGACTGGCATGGCTTGGATGCAAAATGTCTTGCTTAACAGGAAGTGTGTTGGAAATCTTGTGCTCCTTAGGAACTAGTCCAGATTGTCCCAACTTGGCACCCTCCAGATGTGTTTGCTTTCCCAGACCCAGTGGCTGCATTGGCTGGGGTGTTAAGTGCTGTAGTACTTGTAGAGCACTTTGGGAGGTGATCAGCTCTGCAAAAAATCAGGAATGTTGTGAGAGACGCAGGACATTTGCTGTATGGAATTGGCAAATAAAGTTGTAGGAAGACAATTTACAATGGGGAAGGGTCAGCTGTATAAGTAATGATTGTTTATAGGAATGTTTTTTTACATTCCTGCAGGAGCAACTGGCGTGCTGTTTGATTAGGTGCTAACCATCTTTGTCCCCTGACTCTTTTCCCCATTCCAGTATCAGTAGCTGCATTTCTGATCTCCCTTATCCTCCTTCCTTACAAAGCTTTGAGGAACTGCTTGGTTGACATAAAAACAAAGCCACATCCTGGCTCCAGGCAAAGCCGCAGGGGGACTGTCTGGGGGCCAGAGCCTGGCTTAGGATGAGGCAAAAGGCCCAGGCCTTCTAGCTCCTGCTGTTGAGATGCATGTGGTCTGAGGAACTTGACACTGGTTGGTTCAGAGAAAGGGAAATATCCAGGGAGCTTTTTAAGGAAAAAGCAGAGAAAAGGTGCTTACCTTGTTGTTCACCTCTAATGTTTTCTCTGATGGGCCCTAAAAAAAGGCTCATGTTTATTTAAAAATACATAGTTTGATGAAGAGAACACCCCAGAGTTTTAAATCAAACTTAAATATGTCTGTTTCAGCAGTTCAGCTAATGCCTCATGTAAGTGAACTGAGGTGTATCAAGAAATGTGGGATTAAATTTTAATTGAATAATGTTGAGGCGGAAATCTTGTAGATACCTGTGAAGAGGGTAAATTAAAGAGGGCTTGCTTTTGAAGAGAGATTAAATAGGTTTGTGTTACAATGCTATTGTTTTTAATCTTGGTTGAGTTCACATAATAAGCTGAGTTCCCAACCAGTAAAACAAAGGTTGACATAATGTGTTGTGTGAACCTAGGCCAGTGAACCTGTGGGTCGGGACCCCATTTGGGGTCGATGGACCATTTCACGGGGGTCGCCAAGCAAGGCTGTCCGCCATTTTTTTTGTCCGCCATTTTTTTGTCCGCCATTTTTTTCCCCTTTTCCGGCGGTGCCTTACCTCCCTTGGGCTGGGCCAGCTGGTGGTCGGCCTGCTCTGTCTCTGCCGCTTGCCAGCTACACCTCGGCTGGCGCAGGGGGCGGAACCACGCATGCGCGGCGCTCCCGGGCAGGGAAAGTCCTCGACTTACGACCGGTTGGGTAGTCCTCGACTTACGACCGGTTTAGTCCTCGTCTTACGACCGGTTTAGTCCTCGACTTACGACCGGTTGGGGTCGCGGCATTAAAAAGGTTGAGAACCACTGACCTAGGCCGTACTCAGCGTGTGGTCCTCAATGGAACTGCATCTACTTGGAGGGAAGTGTGTAGTGGGGTGCCCCAGGGCTCTGTTCTAGGCCCAGTGCTCTTCAACATCTTCATCAATGATTTGGACGAGGGGATAGATGGGGAACTCAACAAATTTGCGGATGACACCAAGCTGGCAGGAATAGCCAACACTCCAGAAGACAGGCTTAAGATACAGGAGGACCTTGACAGACTTGAACACTGGGCGCTATCTAACAATGAAATTCAGTGGTGAAAAAAGTAAGGTTCTACATTTAGGCAAGAAAAACCAAATGCACAGGTATAGTATAGGGGGTACCTTGCTCAATAGTAGTAACTGTGAGAGGGATCTTGGAGTCCTAGTGGACAATCACTTAAACATGAGCCAGCAGTGTGCTGCAGCTGCCAAAAAAGCCAACACAGTGCTGGGCTGCATTAACAGAGGGATAGAATCAAGATCACGTGGTATTAATACCACTTTACAATGCCTTGGTAAGGCCAAACTTGGAATACTGCATCCAGTTTTGGTCACCACGATGTAAAAAAGATGCTGAGACTCTAGAAAGAGTACAGAGAAGAGCAACAAAGATGATTAGGGGACTGGAGGCTAAAATATATAAAGAAAGGTTGCTGGAATTGGGTATGTCTAGTTTAACGAAGAGAAGGACAAGAGGGGACATGATAGCAGTGTTCCAATATCTCCGGGGCTGCCACAAAGAAGAGGGAGTCAAGCTATTCTCCAAGGCGCCTGAAGGCAGGACAAGAAGCAACAGATGGAAATTAATCAAGGAGAGAAGCAACCTAGAACTAAGGAGAAACTTCCTGACAGTTAGAACAATTAACCAATGGAACAACCTGCCTACAGAAGCGGTGAATGCTCCAACACTGGAAGTGTTTAAGAAGAGACTGGACAGCCATTTGTCCGAAATGGTATAGGGTTTCCTGCCTGAGCAGGGGGTTGGA